TATGTCCTGTGTTCCTAAATCCTGTGTTCCTAAGTCCTATATTCCTACGTCCTGTATTCCTATGCCCTGTGTTCCTAAGTCCTAAGTCCTGTGTTCCTAATTCCTGTGTTCCTTGTCCTGTGTCCCTAAGTCCTGTGTTTCTATGTCCTGTGTTCCTTGTCTTGTGTCCCTAAGTCCTGTGTTCCTATGTCTTGTGTTCCTAAGTCTTGTGTTTCTAAGTCCTGTGTTCCTTGTCCTGTGTTCCTATGTCCTGTGTTCCTAAGTCCTGTGTTCCTAAGTCCTGTGTTCCTATGTCCTGTGTTCCTATGTCCTGTGTTCCTAAGTTCTGTGTTCTTTTGTCCCGTGTTCCTTTGTCCTGCGTTCCTATGTCCTGTGTTCCCACGTCCTGTGTTCCCATGAGGATGGCAAAAAGGAGTCCTAACAAAATTGGAGTCAATATGAATCTGGGGGAAACTCTTTGCCAGTTGGAGTTATACCTAGCACAAAAAAATGGTCATGATTGTTGGAGGTCAGTCACCTCAGCTCCAGGACATCTCTGCAGGAGTTCCTCAGGATACTGGCCTAGCTCCAACCATCTTCAGCCACTTCATCGATGGCCTTCTCTCCATCATAAGGGGATGTTTGCTGATGGCTGCACAGCATTTAGCATCATTTGCACCTCCTCAGATACTAAAGCAGTCCATGTCCATATGCAGCAAGACCTGGACAATATCCAAGTTTGGGCTGATAAGTTGGAAGTATCTTACATGCCACATAGGTACCAGGCAATGACTATTTCCAACAAGAGAGAATCTAACTATCACCCCCTTGACATTCAATGACATTAGCAAAACTGTATCTCCCTCATCCTGGGGACTATAACTGATCTGAAACTGAATTGCAGCAGCCATATAAATACAGTGGCTACAAGTACAGGTCATTGGCTAGAAATCCTGCATTGAGGACTTCATGACCCAACTCCCCAAAGCTTGTCCACCATCTACAAGGCACAGGTGGTAGGTGCAGTTCCAACAACATTCAAGAAGCTTGACACCATCCAGCACAATACAGCCTGTTTGACTGGCCCCACATCCATCACTTTGAACATCCATTCCCTCCATCAATAATGCACAACGACAACAGTGTGTACCAGCACAAGGTGCACTGCAATAATTCACCAAGGCTCCTTTGACAGCACCTTCCAGACATGCAATCACTACCATCTGAAAGAACAAGGACAACAGAGGCACAGGGATGTCATAGTGGCTCAGTGGTTAGCACTGCTGCCTCACAGTGCTAGAAACTTGGGTTCAATCCCACTCTCGGGTGATTGTCTGTGTGGAGTTTGCACGTTCTCCCTGTAGATTTCATCCAGCAGTATGGAGAGGGAGCTGAGCGAAAAAAAAAACCTGCAGATGCTGGAAGTCAGAAACAAAACCAGAAATTGCTGGGGACAAACCCAGTAGGTCTGGCAGTATCTGTGGACTGAGAGAGCAGAGTTAATGTTTTGGGTCGAGTGACCCTGCCTCAGAACTGCAATCTGTTCAGAATCAATCCTGAAGAAGAAGGGGTGGCAGGGTGGCTGAGTGGTTAGCACTATTGCCTCACAGCACCAGAGACCTAGGTTCAATTCCAACTTTGGGTGACTGTCTGTGTGGAGTTTTGCACATTCTTTCCATGTCTGTGTGGGCTTCTGCCAAGTGCTCTGGTTTCCTCCCACAGCCCAAAGCTGTGCAGGTTAGGTGGATTGGCCCTGGGAAATCACAGTTATGGGGGTAGGGGAGTAGGTCTGGATGGGATGTTCTGCAGAGGGTCAGTGTGGGCTGAATAGCCTGCTTCCACACTGTAGGGATTCTATGAAGAACGCAAAACACTAACCCTGCTTTCTCTCCACAGATGCTGCCAAACCTGCTGAATTCTTTTTCCAGCAATTTCTATTTTTGTCGCTGAGAGAGAGTTGGGTCATTAAGGAATCCACAATTTCCAATGAAACAGTAAATGATAATGTCTGCCCTTCTGTTTGCATCAGTCAGCACTGCCTTCTCCTTCATATCATCTGTTCCCTCCTGCTCTTTCCGAACTGGATCGAGTGAATGGATGCCAAAGATTAAGACAATTGGACCAATGCAATGCTGTGGCTTTGAATCTGGTCCTTTTCCATCTCTCACCTGAATGTTGACTTGCAGAGGCTGACGCTCCCCGCTTTTAGTGTGAGCCACCCCCTCCGTGTCATAGATCCCAGTGTAATCCACCGCTTGGGGGTCCCGCGATTTCTCCTCCAGAGAAATGGGCACTGCCCCGATCATCATCGACCTGCGATCCAACAATAACAGATAAAACCGAGCCTCACCTCAGCCAACACTTTCCTTTCTTTTAGCAGCTGCAGCCGTGAGTGAGCAAACGAAAGCGGCAATGTTTAAGATGATATTGAAACAAGAAACATAGCCACCCCACCCCTCACTGCCACCCTGACGGTCATCTGTCTGTGATTTTTATAAAATGTCCGTGAATATCACAGAGGGCAAACTGTAAACTTACACCATTGACAGCAAAACCTGATAAATATTTAATAATATCAAACGTTTTTTTTATTTGCTTCTGCAAACGTGATTAGAGGAGATAATTATTATTAATTTTCGCTTAGAAATCCCATCAGCAGATTCCCATTTCTCCTTTATATTGGCCCCCACTCCCTCTGACAATCCATCTTGCACCTTCTGCTGTTTACTCATTTCTCAACCAATACAACAGCAGCAAATCCCCCTGTGGATCAGGCTGGGTATTTTTTCCCCAGAATAAATCTTTGTCAGATGCATTTATTTTTTCTCCTTACCAAGCAAGAGTCAAGATTTAAACTGACCCCTATAGGAAGTGCTGACAATTCATTAGGATCTTACCTTGTTAAATAACATTAGCATCTCCTACAAGCACGGCTCAGCTAAAGGACCCTTCCCCCCACCCCTGCACTCCCATTGCCAGGTTAGATTACTCCAGGAAGCCAGTCGCCCTAATGCAGGGGGAAGAGTCAGGCGCTAGGCGATGCAGGAAATTCAAACAACGGGTATGTTTTGAGGAGGGGAGCAAATTATCCAAACCCACCGCCCGTTCTCTGCCACCCCACACCCCAGCAGCCTCTCCCTGTTGTACTCACTTGACTGCTACAATCCCCGGCTTCAATACAACATCGACCTTGTACTTAGCTCCTGTCAGCAACTTAATGGTGCGGTTCTGTCCGAATCGCTGGCCGTCCACTTTGAAATACACCGGGCCATCACCGGGCTGGATTCTCAAAGAGACACCGATTTTCAGCAAGCTGGGAATCTCTCCCATGATCCGGTGCTGGTGGAGGGAGAGAGAGGATGAGGAGAAAACCTCGCAGTCTTCTCGTTGGAGAAAGATGGACTGATTTTAAAAAAACCCCTCAGCGGCAGCTTCTGGCTCCTTACCCCATAGGCAGTGACACAGAGCCAGCACAAACCCCTTCAGTACGTGCAGGATGTAAAAGCAGGGAGATGCAAACATCCAACTGGCAGGACTAAATCCAGACTGATTGCAGACATAATCCCTTGCTGCAATGCACAGACGTCAGCACTAACTCAGGACTCTACTTCATGAACCTTCCTACTCAGAAACATTAAGCATCACATGGTAATGCCCTCAGCCTTAGCCGTATGGTTCAAATGGAAAACCCCTTTCCCTACAATGTCAGGATAACACCTTAAGGCACGAGGGTTTATGAATGAATATTCCCAGATCAATAACATATATGTTTAAAACGTGGCGCTCAACTTGAGGATTGTGGGGGAAAAAAAGGCACATTTTGTCGAAGCTTTTCATCTTGCACTCATCAGGACAACTCGCAAGAATACCAATTCAAGGAGGAAGAGCAACATTTATACTGATTGAAAATAAAATATATGTTTATAAAAATGTACCTTTCTCTCTCGGACTCCACAGCCTGGCTTCTCCAGTGACTCTCAGCATTTGGAAACAACAAATGCTGGAGATCACAGTGGGTCAGGCAGCATCGTTGGAGAGAGAGCAAGCTAACGCTTCGAGTCTAAATGACTCTTTATCAGAGTGCTGGTGAGACACCTAGACTCGAAACGTTAGCTCACTTTCTCTCCACGGATGCTACCTGACCCGCTGTGATTTTCAGCATTTTTTGTTTTCAGTACAGATTCCAGCATCTGCAGTAATTTGCTCCAACCCTGAGCATTTGTTCCTCTTACTTCAAATTCCTAACATTCTGGGTATCGGCAATTTGTTTTATTAATCCATTATCATTGCAGAATGAGTCCTTCACATTATTCAGAAAGAGACATTTACAATGGAAGAAGTTTCCTGAAGGTTTACCCAATCCATTTTGAAAAGCTTTGATTTAAATCCAATCACAGTAGTTCACTTACTGGATGGGATGTTAACACATTTCTCTTTGTAAACTGCAATAATATGAGAGCCAATATTGCTGGAGAAACTCCACAGATCCAGCAGCATCTGTAGAGGCAAACCAGAGTTAGCTTTCGAGTTGAATGACCTTCCTTCAGTCTAAGTGACATGCTGAATTTCTCCAGCAATTTCTGTTTTACTCCAGTATCCACAGCTCTCTGCTTTCTAACATGAATGATCCTTTTATGACACTGTCTTTGCAAAATTCCATGTAGTCATAAAAAATAATCCTAGACCACATCTCTCAGTGGCACCAGGGATGTGTACATGGTTAGGGCATTCAATGAGACTTGTTTACGATGAATGCGCCCCCAACTCCAACTGTCACTTAATCTAAGGTCCATTCAATTCCACACAAGATTCCTCTTCACAAACTATTATCAGAACTTGTTATGTTCTTCTAACTTTTAATTGCAATTGTAATATTTCTAAATGCAAGAATCTGCATAGATGGTGCATAGAGAGGATCATATCACAAAATGATCGTGCAGATATTGAGCAAATGCAAACTCTATAAAGGAAGTGGGCATTTGCTCGTAATTTATCTAAGTTCGTATCAACAAGGAAATGTGTTACAGCAGACCAAAATGAGCCAAGGTGTAAATATTATATACTCTTCTTTCAGGATTGTGACTAAACAATAACACTGGTTTGCATTGATGTAGCACTAAGAACGTAGCCAGGCACCTGTCAAGAGAGATTATCAACCAAACCTTAACAGTGAACTTGATAAGGAGACATTAAGACCATTATGTGGTTTTAAGCAGAGGAATGGCATAAGTGGTGGCATAGGCAGCATCCGGGCTCTGAACTCGGGGTTCATCCATTCCGCCCGTGTCTCTTTCTTTTTTTCTTATTCTTTTGTCATTTCTTTTCTTTTGGTTAAGTTTTCTAGATTTTTTTTACTTACCTTCTGGAGAGTGCTCGGTCGTGGAGGTGACAGCATCGGGGTCCGGAGCACCGCGGCAGCTGGGGCCCAGAGCTGACCTTTGGTGCTTGGTGATGAGGTGTCTGGTAGCTGGGCGGAACTCCAGCGGCCGGTGGCATTGTGGCACCGTCAAGGTCCAGAGTGGTCAGCGGTGAGGCGGCAGTGCAGAGGACATCGATCCCTTATGCGCAGGGGGTGGGGGACAGAACGAGCCCTTGCGGGGAATCCGAGCCCCTTGCAGGGAAAGCCCAGCATGGAGCGTCTGCAGGCCCAAGGTTAAAGAAGGACTGTAATGCTGAAATTTTAATTTTATTTCTTTATTTTTCTACTTTATGTTGAGAAGAACTGTAATGTTGAACCTGTAAGTTATTTCTTTTTTCTACTTTGTACCTAAGATTTTGTACCGAGGTGTCTTTGTACCTAAGATGGCACTGGGAATGGTGACTTTGTACACTTTTCATTGGACCCCTGTATCCCCGTACTTGAGTGCACGTCACAATAAAACCTAATTCTAACACAGTATTTTGAAGGAGAAAAGAGGTTTGAGAAACAGGTTTCGAGAAGGAATTAAAGGCCGGCATGTGTCTGCAAGATCTGTTTTGCGTAAAGTGTGTGTGACGTTTTATTTATTTAATGAAAATTCCCCAAAGCCGAGCAAACACTTCCTCTTTTGTGGAATTTAAGGTGATGAGTGCACCACATCATCTGTGGAAGGAACCCTCTCAGTAATGTGCAGCTTTGAGCCTCTCCACAAGTGCATAAGGTCTTTGTATTGAGGCCACACTAGTGCAGTTTGACTGCACAGGAACTCCGACTTGTCCTGAGCCTGTTTAGCAAGGACTACTCTTGCCGTGGAAATCAAAGCCTGCCATTGGATAGATGAAATTTGTCACAAAAAACTTGTTAGTGACTTATTCTGTGACAATGACAGAGAATGAATAGTTCCTTTGTGAACATAAAGTGAACAGTCATGAGAAACAGTCACAGTGAGTCCCAGACATTACAGTGAACTTTGTAATCTCTGCCTTTGTAATCTCTAAACTGAACAGAAAGACTTGCATTTTTGCAACGCTTTTCACAACCTCAGATCATTCCTATGTACTATACAGCCAATGAAGTACGTTTCTGAGTGTAGCCACTGTTCTAAAATCAGAGATGTGGCATTAAATTTACCCACAGGAAGCTCCCACAGACTGCAAACTGCAACCTGATAGCATAATCTGTTTCGTGACGTTGATCGAAGGATAAATGTTGGTCAGGCAACTGTAGAGAACTCCCAAGAGTTAACATCCCCAACTGTACAGCTCTCATCCAGTACTGGCCTGCAGCGTCAGCCTGGATTTGTTAGGTTTTTGTGTCTAGAGTGGGACTTAGACCTGCAAGCTTTCAGCTCAGAGGTGAGAGAATGCCCAGAGCAGCAGATACATGGGAACACCACCACTCCTTCAAGCCATTCACCATCCTGACTCAATATATCACTATTCCTTCGTTATCAGTTGGTCAAAACCTGGAACTCTCTCTCTAAAAGCACTGCGGGTGAACCTACACCACATGGGATACAGAAGTTCAAGAAGGCAGCTCACCACCATCACTATCTCCAGGGATGGTTGACGGATGCTAGCCTTCAGATCACCTTGTGTTTCATCACACAATGATGAAAACTTAAAACTGAAGACAGTCCCTGTCTGCTATGGTAAAAGTGGAAATATTGAGGAAGATGTGGATTGATTCATGTAGTCAACATGGATTCGTCAATGTTAGACCTTGCTTCCTTACTCTCGTTGACGATTTTGTAGAAATCAACGAGCATATGCAGTATAAACAGTTACATGTGGCTGCGATATGCCAATGATACTTAATGTACCTGACCATGGGATGTTTTACAATGTTGCATGATCTTGCTTTCTCTCTCACAGCCTTGTGGCAAGATGAAGTTACAGTAAGATGTTTCTTAAATAAACTTAATGTTTTCCTAACCTCAGCAAGTTCTGTAACAGTCCTTTAGCAGCAAATGAGACCAAGAATATTATTGTATGGAGAAAGATAATGTGGTAAAAGTTGTACTTATGGATTTTATTTTCTTATGGATGGGCCCCATGTGGGAGACTTAATGCAAAAGGAAAGATAATTGGTATTTATGGGAGTTATGCAAATACATAGGATACTTAGGATCATGAAAGCAAAGATCAGGAAATAGGTAAATATTCCTGAAATTAAGAGGAATTGGTTAATGCTGTGCCACAGGGATCCATGTAAGAGCTTGTTAGAGGTGAAATTTATTCTTTGATTCCCAGGTAAGAAAGAAAAGGCTAGAAGTCCAGTTTAGGAGGAAAATAATCCATACCCAGACAAAGTTAGAAACACAATATTGGTTGAACTGTCAAAAAGAGACTTCTAAAAGACGATCTTGTATCTGTTTTCTAACCTATCCCAGAAATTGTTTGTGTAGAGTCATAGAGATGTACAGCATGGAAACAAATCCTTTGATCCAACTTGTCCATGCCGACCAGACATCCTAAATTAATCTAGTCCCATTTGCCAGCATTTGGCCCATATCCCTCTAAACCCTTTCTATTCACATACCCATCCAGATGCCTTTTAAATGTTGTAATTGTACCAGCCTCCACCACTTCCTCTGGCAGCTCATTCCATACATGCACCACCCTCTGTGTGAAAAAGTTACCCCTTAGGTCCCTTTTAAATCTTTCCCCTCTCACCTTGAACCAATGCCCTCTAGTTTTAGAGATAGTAGGAACTGCAGATGCTGGAGAATCTGAGATAACAAGGTGTAGAGCTGGAAAATTTTCTGAAGAAGGGTCTAGACCTGAAACATCAGCTTTCCTGCTCCTCTGATGCTGCTTGGCCTGCTGTGTTCATCCAGCTCTACACCCTCTAGTTTTAGACTCCCCTACATCCCTGGGGAAAAGACCTTGGCTATTCACCCTATCCAAGGCCTTCATGATTTTATAAACTTTGATAAGGTCACCTCTCAGTCTCCAACACTCCAGGGAAAATAACCTCAGCCTATTCAGCCTCTCCCAGTAGCTCAAACCCTCCAATTAGGACTATTTCCTCCACATGGACCCTAACCATGAGATACTTCTAGAGGCTATTACTATTAGGAAAATGTTTTAGAATTCATCTTTTAAATAGAGATGGAGAAGCACAGCGGCTCCTGGATTCTCTGCATTGTGGCAAGCTGCTGTCAGCCAACTA